ATGAGCGACGCCTAAACAAGGAGTGGTAGTCGGTTACTAAGACGTGCGCCACGCCCTAGACGGTGTCATGAAAGACAAATCGACAAGCACATTACCGTTTGGGATGGTCGGCGATCCACTTCAGGATATGAGGAGTGAAGTCACAGAGCTCGTGGCAGAATTCCGCGACGTTTAAACCAAGCGCGTAACTAAAGTGAACGAAAAAAGGGGATAGTTTGTGTGTTGAGAGCAATTAGGCAAAGACAGAAGCTAGGCAACGATCAAATGTGACTTGTAGACCAAAAGAGGCAATATACGCTTTAGGCTAGGAGGTTAACAGCAACTCACGAACCACGCCAAAATCTCAACTAACTTGTCTAAGTTACGCAAAGGGGTCGGAAAATGAATAAATATCCAATGTAAGTTAGGCTGTTATTTCACAGAAGAAAGTTGACATGTGAATCGGAAAATGCAAGCCCGGGTGGCCAACTTACACTTGCAAAATAGTAGATTGCTTGAGCACACTCTTGAGGAAAGTGGGCAATGCGGATGACTCATCTACTGTGTCTTGTCTGCATACCAACTAAAAACGGAATTCGGTGTAGATTAAAAAGCAATCAGGTCTACATTTATTTAAAAAATGTTCAGTGTCTGAAGGTTAACGTGTCAGGAAGTTTTTACTCAATTGGACAATAAAAAAGTAACTCTTATTAACTCTACTGGATAATGACTAAGCAACAGTGTTTTATAAGTAAAAGTAAGGACAGGAAAAAGATTTCATAGGAGGATACTATATCACTGGCCATGGTTTAAAGCACAACCCAACTCTTCCTATCTCAGTATCGTAATCCTAGTGAAGCAAAGGGGGCCCTGGAGAAGCTAAGTGAATTGAAGAACGTTAAAAAAACAACCCGAAACTTTAAAGAGAGCACAATTCGGACAAACAATTAACAAAGAAGTTCTAACCGGACAGTTGCCCTGATACTACCTGTAGACGAGGGTGAAACTGAATCCCTTTCATATAAAGAGGTATAAAACAACCAATCGTTTGATTCAAAGTTAATATATTTCATCTTTAAGGTCAGCCATTGGACAGTATAACTGAGTAAATACCAACATATGAGTCGTCTAATTGAAATGCTGGAATGCGGTGTCAAAGAGTCAGACCGATGGAGAGTAAGTGCATCACATAGCTAACAATAGAAAAACAACGCTGTGAAATATTTCAGTCTAGATCCGTACTACACAAGAGCATAGATTAAAACTCAAATTCAGGATAAGAGGGTATCTAATTCTGATATACTAGCAGCTATTCTCGGGTGGCAAAACTTGATGCAAACCGTCAACCAGAGCGTGCCGAATGATAATCTGGGTAAAAATAAGGTTGGTCGTCCACCTTAGACACCTCTTACCCCGAGAATTATGTCCAAAGGAGCTTAATTTTTAGTTTATTAGATAGTTTGTTAGCTTAGTAAGTAGAGTTTAGTATAAAGTAGTTATTTAGGTGTATTTATCTAACTCTGGCGGTATCTAACTAAAACTAAAAACTATACTGAAGTTGACCTAAAAGTTAACTAATAAACCAAAAATCAAAATAAACTAAACCAAACCTAGTAAAACTAACAGAAACCACAGAACTAGGAATACATAAGGTGCTGGATCTACTTTAGTGTTACGTTAATCTAAACAAAATTTACCTTGGATAAGGAAGAAGACGTGTTGAGCACCGGATCAATTGATTTATTGTCCTGAGCTTTCGAACTCTTACAGGAGTCCATCTTCAGAGATGAGAAGAAGCAACCAAAAAGAGGGTAATTATAGTGGCCATAGGCCAATAAACTGTCAGAAATCATCAGGTTCGTTTTCTTTTCCAAAGACTTGAAACACACTGCAGCACACCAGCCGCCAGAAGAGGTGAGCAACAATATCTTCAGGAACTCTTCCGAGCTAATGGTTACCCAAAGTCATTTATCAAACAAAGCATGCGCCGAGTGAACAGACGACGCCCAGTGCAACAACAACCCGAAGTCTGGAGGGCCACTCCCTACATAAAGGGAGTCTCCAAAGCAGTCTCACGATTGTTGCAACCCCCTGCTCTACTGACAGCTAATTAGCGTACACCAATATTATTGCCTCCCAGTTCTACCGACAGCTAATTGCTCTTCTCCCCCATCCTTTGTGATCGCTGCTTCTAACCCCT